ATCTACACCCGCTAGAGATGATTCCCAAGGGATCAACAGGTTATGACAAGCCCAAGTGCCGCAGCGCAGGAAGGTGCAAGGGGTACGGTGACAACAGCAACCGGGCCAGGAGTGGTGGTCCAGCAGGCAACTGAAAGGGCAACGGAACCCGAAGGGGCTGGAGCTGGATACGGGGCAACTGATCACGAAGTGGCTGTGCGAACGCTGGCGGTTCAGGAACTGACAACGACGACAGCTGTTGGATTGGCGCAGGCTATGGCGGGCTCACCTCAGGGGGTGAGAGACCCTGGAGACGTAGCTGGAAGTCAAGCAACTGGTGATACAAGAGGCCCTGAGCCACCCTGGTGGGCAATAGGTCGTGAGACGACAGCGGAGGCAAGACGCCTCTCAGTACCTGCTTGGATGCAACGTCTTGGAGCCTTCTTCCAAGCAGTGGGCAACCAGCAAACCGCGGTTCCGGCGGACTGGATGCCATCGCCATTTCCATCTCCACCTCCACCGTCTTCGTCAACAAGGAGGAGGCTAGAACCGCCGATGGTGGAGGAAGCAACTGGAAGTGGACAGCAGGCGTTGTTCACAAGAGAACAAATGGATCGTGTGAGAAGGATGGAGAGGCAAGCTCCCTTGCTTTATGGCCCACCGCAACAGCAACCGGGTGAACCGAGTTCAGGTGGAAGCACGTATGAAGCTGTTCAAGAAGAGGTGCGTCGACAGCTCAAGGGCGTAGTTGATCAGCTGGAGGCCTCGAGACGAGAAGCTGAAGAACTGCGTGGTGAGTTGCATCGTGCGAGAAGTGAGCAGGTAGCAGCCAGAGAGCTTCCGGATGCTAGTGGGGCAGTAGGGGGACCTAAGGGGACGTTAGGAAGTATACTCGAAACCCCAAGTCCTGGTCAAGAAGTGCTGGAGCTAGGTGGAATACCAGTACCTAGTCGTGACAACGATGCTCTACGCACTCCTCCTAGAAGGCAAAGGGAACCTCTACAACATCCAAGTGGGCAACCTCGAACTTATGGTGGATATTTAAATTCCCAAGCACCTCAACTACCTCAACCATTGCCTCAGGTCCCTACGGTGACATCAGGACCTCCCGGGCTGACACGGGACCCACCTCAAGAAGGTCAGGACATGATGCAGCGACTTTTGGAGGGTCTGGAGAAAGTCATCTCAAAGGAGCGCAAGGGTGAAGAGTTGAGTCGTAATCATATGGAAGTGGTACGACTACCAGATATATCGGAAACGTCAGCAGTAGATTTTGGAGATTGGGTCCATTGCCTACAACACCCTATGGGAGATATATCAGCAGGATCATCTGATTGGTGGCGTGAACTTACCAGGGTGGCTAAGATCTACTATGAGGGTTATGTGAAGGCAGACCAGTATAATCGCCTGACTATGTCCCCTACACCCTCAGATGAGTTGGCCTCGCCCAGGTGGACGCGTGTGGACAGACGTGCCGCCAACATGATGCTCCAGGCGGTCCCGGATGAAGTAAGGAAGGAACTCATATCAGCCAGGGCCCAGACTTCACTCGAGATACTTTGTCGGGTGATGATTTTGTATAGGCCGGGTTCAGCAGTGGAGAAGAGTCAGTTGCTTCGTCATGTGGAGAACCCGGAGCCGATTACAACCCTAGCAGAAGCAGTCAATTCCTTGCGACAGTGGTGGCGGTATTTTCAGAGGGCAAAAGATCTGGGGTTAGTGATTCCAGACCCGTCACTGCTACTTCGAGGGATAGATCATATGGTGAGTAAGCCCTTGGCAGAGAACAAGGAGATCCAGTTCAGGATGAACCTGCTCCGCTACCAGTTGAAGGTAGACTTTCAACCCACGGAAGTCAATGTGACAGCAGTGTACAAGGGGTTGTTGGCGGAGTTCGAACAATGCGCAGCAAGAAAGCCTAAGAATGCTTCGACGGCAACCACATCCTTGTCTACTACAACTATGCCTAAGGTGAAGGGTATGCAAGCGGACTCTACAGGCCCAAAGCCGTGCAGGTACTTTCTTTCCGATGAAGGGTGTAGGAGGGGGAAGTCTTGCAAGTACCAGCACACGCTGGACAAGAATGAGAAAAAGAGCAGATGTTGGGTGTGTGGTGCCAAAAATCATCAGGCAAAGAACTGCCCAACTAAAGATCGAGAAGGAACTCCGACTACCTCACCTACCTCGGCTACTTCACAAGCACAACCCTTTCCTGCCGCCAAGGTACTACAACCAACGACGTTGACTCCACCGGTGGCAGCGACAGATGTTCGTAATGATCATGCTGTTCGGAGTGGAGGAGGACTTGAAGAACATGTGGCAAGTACATTGGCAAGTGCGGGATCGTCTGGAGATTCCACGTCGGGAGCCTCAGTCACTGAACTCTTGGAGAGTGCTCAGAGAATGATGAAGGTTCTGAACGATCAGCAGACGTCATTGAGGGTTATGGGGGTGGCTTCGGAGAGTGATGCTGTTTTGCAGAGGGCAAGAGTCTTTCAGAATCCACAATTGACCAAGATGGGACTCTTGGATAGCGGGGCGACTCATGCTTTGAGACAGGAGCGTTTGGGTGAAGCATCAACGGCAAGGAGTGTGAAGGTCACGCTGGCCAACGATCAGAAGACAACGCTTCTTCAGAATGCACAGGGAGTACTTCTAAGTCAAGATCGGGATGTACAACCAATTGTGCCACTTGGCAGTTTGGTCAAGCAACTCGGATATACCTTTGAGTGGAATGCACGAGGATGCCGACTTCATCATCCCGAGAAGGAATCTGTGCAGGTTTTCACCAGAAGTTCGTGTCCGGAAGTCCGAGAATGTGATGCTTTAAGGCTGATTGCGGAGATCGAGGGCATGAAGGTGGAGGAAGCCATGAAGACCCTGAAGGAGCTCACAACGACTATGAAGTCAACGAGAGTGGGGGCAGATGGCAACTTGAGAGGGCCATCGAGGGATTGGAGGTCGTACGTCAAGGACTACGTCAAGACCGGGCGAAAAGAGGACGGCACCAAGTCCCTGACAAAGATCGACTGGCCATCTTCGAAGACCTCCCAGATGGGGACAAAGAGGCTTGGCAAGCAATGAAACAACTACCACTGAATCGGGCAAGGAGAAAGCGTTTGTGGAAAAGTAACCGCTGGATGGTGCACTTGTTCTCGGGCAAGGACAAGGAAGGTGACCCTCTTCGTCGATTGGATGGAGCAAGGTCATCGGGACTCGAGGAGCTTGTGTACCTGGAAGTGGATTTGGCTCGAGATAAGGCTTGGAACGTCGCTGTGGGTCCTCTTTACAAGGTCTTGCTCTGGGCGGCAGCCAAGGGAAAGATTGAGGGTGTCTTCGGAGGACCACCATGTCGATCATATTCGTTGCTGAGGTTCCGTGAAGTACCTGGTTTGAATCTTCCCAGGCCAGTAAGATCAGTGCAAGAGCTTTGGGGAAAATCAAGGGGGTTGACAGTTGAGGAGGAGACCTTAGTCCACAATGACAACAAGTTGATCCTTCGCACGGTTTGGCTGTGGTTAGTTGCAGAAGAGGGTAAAAGGCAACCTTGGGGATATGACACGGTGGGGTCCATGGTAGCGTTTGCACTGGAGCATCCCGAAGATCCACGTGAATTTCTACCAAGAGGTGATCTATATGAGCAGTGCACATCGTTCTGGAGAACCGCTTTGGCAAGAGAACTTTCTCATGGCGCTGGGTTAGCGCTCCTTACGTATCAATTCGATCAAGGGTACTTTGGACATGACCAAAGAAAGCCAACCAAGGTGCTATCCAACATGGACATGGCGAACCTGGACCAGATGAGAGATCCGCGGGCTCAGTGGGAGAAGCCAAGGACCTCGTCAGACATGGCAGCCTGGGCACCGGGTTTTCGAGCGATTCTGGCACAGGGACTTCGTGAGTGGCAGGGTCAATCTATTGTCCAAGTGGCAGCGATGAGTCCAGAACGAGAAGCTCTATGGAGAGAACATATTCGACAAGGACATTGGCCCTATCGTCGGGATTGTCGAGTTTGTGTGGAGGCAGCTGCCTCTGGAAAGCCCGCAAGGAAGGTGGTCCACAGAGATGCCTATGTTCTCAGTATGGACACAGCTGGTCCTTTCAAAGAAAAAGGGATGGACGAAAATGGCGAAAAGTACAAGTACGTGCTTGGCTTTACCTACCTATTCCCTAAGACTTTTGCGGCGGCGGCAGAGGCGGAAATTCCGGACGAGGTCGAGGACTTTGAGATGGACGAGTACGTGCCGTCAGAGGCCGAACAAGAGGAGGAGGGCGAGAGTGGCGAGCTAAGCAGAGATGAGGCAAAACGAGAAGAGGAATGGAACAAGTTGCTGGGCGACTTGACCAAACCGATGGAATGGCAGACCTTGAGGTTTGCGATACCTCTGAAGGGAAGGCAGGCTCGGGAGACCATGGAGGCCATCCAGGACGTGTACGTCTACTTAAGGGCAAATGGCTTTCCTGTAGCCAGGCTGCATTCCGACAGAGCAAGAGAATTTCGGACAAAGTCTTTACATCGTTGGTGTTTGGAACGAGATATTTACCAAACATTCACCGAGGGATACAAGCAGGTGGAGAAAGAGGAGCCAGAGATCCATGAAGAGTATGAGGTTGAGCTACCTGCTCCTGAACGGCGTCTTCGCGAAAAAACTACTGTCCGAGCAGTTCATTGCAGTGATGGACTGAAGCTAAGGGATCAATCGCCAGGAGCTGTGGAGTCTCCTACATCAAGACCTTTGTCGCCTACCTCACAAACATCAGCGCAGGACTCTATGCAAAATCCTGAGATGGTAGCGGCTCAAATGGCATATGACGAAGAATATGATGATGAGGACCTGATCAACTTGCTTCGCCTGGTGAACTTGGAAGCCACGTCAAAGCCGGTGAGACAAGAAGAGGGACAATGGTCGGGATCATGGGGAACGGGAGCGTTTGTACATGGGGGAGTGTGTGGACTACGCAACAACATAAAGAAGCACCCTAATGTGACTATGTACTTGGCCCACTTCATCAAGAAGAAGATCCCAAAGGACCACCCGTTCAGTGCGTTGGTGGTGAATGTTAATCAACATATACTACCCCATCGTGATGTTCACAACCACCCTGAGGTTCCCAACATGGTGTACGGTTGCGGAAATTATCAAGGTGGTCAAATATGGCAACAAACGTCAGAACCGGAAGATAGCGACTTGGACGAGGAATGGGAGATTGAAGGTCAACCAGTTCGAGGTAGATCGTTCCCGGTGAAAGGCGAAGCCAGACCTTTGTGGACAAGAAGATGGCATGCCGTGAAGGACTGGAAGGGTGACAGAATAACAGTGGTGGCGTTTGAACCGAGGCATATGGAAAGACTGTCGGAAGAGCACAAGGGTGTCCTGGAGTTCTTAGGTTTTCGTCCACTACTACAAGAAGTGAGGCTCGCTCCTATGAGGGAGATACAAACCTTCATGGATGAGGAGGAGTATCCTTGCAGTGATGATGTGGAGCTTGGATCTTTGAATTCAAGGCCGAGGATAGAAATCACCTCGTCAAGTGGGGGACCAACTATGTCTATGGAAGACAGACCACCACAATTACAACCTACACAGGATCTGAGGGGCATGACCAATCCTTTGAGCAGGGCCTCGGCAACTAGTTGGTTTCGAGAAGAGAGAAACGGCTATGCTGGGGGCTGGGAGCAGGATGTCCAACTTCAGGATGGCACCATTGAGGTTGGCGTTTCTTGGTCTCTGAGGTATGTGGCGGAGAATGGTCAGGAGATTGAGTATGACGAGGGTCCAACTGGACGCATGTCGGGAGTAGAGCGAGTTCGATATGAAGACCGTTTGATGTGGGTGAGTGCAATTCTGCAAGAAGAGGTGCATCTGCGGCAAGAACGAGCAACCTTGGGTATTGATCCTGATCCACGGCAGCAACGCGTGATTGATCTCCTTGAAGAATTGCATCAGCGACTCTTTGACTACCTGCAGATAGACATACAACGTGAAGAGGAAGCGCGGATGCACATGATGAAGGTCTCTGTGGAGGAGGCAGTCACCGAGAACGTAGAGCAGTTGTTGCGGGACTTGGATAAACCCCTTGAAGTGGTCCACAATGTATCACTACAAGAAGTCAAACAGAACTTGCCGGTGTGGATACCAAGCATTGGGAAGGAAGTTACTACGTTGACTTCGTCAGGAACTTTGCGACCGATACCGTTGTCATTGAGGCGGAAAAGGGGGAAATCAAGTTGGTCCCGGGCAAGACAGCACATACCGTCAAACCTCCAGACGTTGCAGGCCCAGCCATCGAGGACAAGCGGGAGTACTACAAGAGGAAAACTCGGTTGGTTATTTGTGGTAACTACATCGCTGAAGGGGGCACTGAGGTGTATACAGCCGCGGCTACGGCGGAGTCACTCCGATGTTCACTGGCGGTCTCAGCACATCGAGCATGGGATGCAGGAACCACGGATATCAATAGTGCCTTCACTTTGACTCCAATGACGGAATCCAAGGTCCAGTATGCCATCACGATCCCAAGAGTAGTGGTGGGTGCTGGATACGCCGAGAAGGGCATGGCCTATATGGTGGAGAGGGTACTATATGGTCTCCGTGAAGCACCCAGACTATGGGGAGGTTTTCGGGATCGTCGTGTCAGAAAAGCCAAGCTGTACTTCAGGGAGATTGAGCACCAGTTTTCTCAGATGGAGACTGATGAGTCAGTATGGCGATTACATCCAGTCTCAGAACCCACGCAGACTGTGGCACTTATGGTGATCTACGTCGATGACGTCCTGCTCCTGGGTGAGGAGGAGATTATCATGGTGATGTACCAGTGGATCACCGAGGGCGAGGAAGGCTGGAAATGTAGTCCTTTGGAAATGGTTACACAGAAGGCAGTTCGCTACTTGGGCATGGAGGTCCGACGTGTTCAACAAGCCGGGCTGGTTTGTTTCCATGTCTCTCAGATGGGATATACAATGGATCTTCTGCGACAATATGAAGGACACCACCTGGTGAGTAGCGCTGTCCCGCTTACTAGGGACACTATACCGGAAAATCATGAGGATGAGGATGCCGATGATGAACAAGATCCAGAACAAGTACATCGTGCTCAAAAATTAGGCGGTGAACTTCTCTGGTTGGCAATGAGGACAAGACCGGATATCAGCTTTGGCGTATCTCATCTCTGTAGCCTGACAACAAGAAAACCAGAAGCTGCTATCAAGGTGGGCAAAATGATCCTTAGGTACCTCTCGGGCACTGCAGATGTTGGCCTTGTGTATGAAGGTACGGGACCCGAATTGGTGGCTTTTTCGGATGCAAGTTTTGCACCACATGGAGGCAGAAGCTTCGGATGTGCCGCGACTGCAGTCTATGGAGGATTTGTGGCATGGCGGATGGCAAAACAATCGGTGGTGGCTATGAGCGTCGCGGAGGCCGAGCTCTACGAGATCGTGAATGCAGTACAACAGGCCTTGGGAGTCAAGGAATGGCTCAAGGAGATCAACCCCAACGCCGAGGTCATGGTCTTGGTGGACAATACCGCAGCCCTGGGACTGGCTAGCGAAGCCCCAGGAAGTTGGAAAACAAGGCATCTGAAGGTGCGAGCTCGCTATCTACGCCAAGAAACAGCAGCTGGGCGACTTCAGCTGCGCCATGTTCCGGGAGAAGACCAAGCAGCCGATATGGGCACTAAACCTTTGGCAGCGCCAAGGCTGGAAACCCTGAAGAGGCTGTGGAAAATGACTCGGTGCAGTGAGTTCCTCAAGAATTGGACCTCAAGTCAGCAGGTGACGGTTAAGGTGGTTCAAGGGCCCGGAGTCAATGTGGCCAAAATGTTCATCCTGGTGGTGATCTTGTCACTGATCGCGGGTGTCACCTCCGAAGAGCACGGCAAGGACAACGCTCCAGTCAAGGCGCCTTTGGCAGTGGACGGGGGTTTCGAGTTGTATTTCCTAATGGGTATAGGGGGTTTAGCCCTACTAGCAGTCTGGGAAGTACTTAAATGGACGCTTAACAAGCTCCTGGGCCCAAGTCCTGGTGCAGTCGCGCGGGCTAGGAGACTCCTGCGTATACGCGACCAAACGGCCAGGGCATTGCGAGAAGAGTTGGCCATGCTGGAGGATGATCAGTCCGTGACAGGGGAGCACCTGGCAACTGGTGAAGCGACCGGGAGTGGCCAAGCCTCGACAACCAATGCGAGAAATGAGAGCAATGGACCGCGGATGACTGAGACCGTGACCGCACAACAAGTGGCAGAGCAACGGCAGTATGATTTCCATATCCTGCAAACACCGCTTATCATGTCCGAGAAGGGCGACAAACTGCATCTTCGTGAGGGCTGCTTTGGGCTACGGAATGCCAATAGACACCGTTTGCGCAGACTGGAAGTATGCTCGTGCTGTTTGGAGCAGTACCCGTTGTACTACAGGCTGCCGTTCAATGATCAGCCGTTGGAAAGAACGCAGTAGGTGTGTTTTTCCCCGAAATGGGGGTGGGCGCATCAGAAAGGACACTTCTCTCGCCAGCGTGCGAAGTGAGGAGGAGTGCAGATGCGCAATTTCTCATGGAGCCATGTTGTGTATAGTGAATGTGACGTGGCCGTTGGTTTCAAGTAAGCTTGAGCTGAACACCTAAGACCGAAAATGCAATAGCGCATAGAGTAGGCAGTGCAGCTAGGCAGTGCAGCCAATTTCGTTCGCTGTGTGTGGAAAAACAATAGTGCCTCCGGAGTGCTGAGCCATGGCAAGCTTTGAACCAGAGCTGGCGCAAGCTATGGGCATACCTTTTATTACCCCACCAGAAGACCCTGCATCTACACCCGCTAGAGATGATTCCGATCCAAGGGATCAACAGGTTTTAATGTTTAGGGATTAGGGTTTCCCAGACCCCCTAAAGGATCCAAAAAATGGAACCCCCCCAATATGAACCCATTTCTACATTGGGAAACTTGGGGAATATTAGGGGGTTGCATTTTTTGGATCCTATAGGGGGTCTGGGTTAGGGATTAGGGATGAGGGTTTAGGGATGGGGGATTAGGGTTTGGGCTTTAGAATCTAGGGGTCAGTGGGTAAAGTTCATAAGGTCGAGAAATGAAGTTTGGGGCTTGCTGACTTTCATTCAGAAGTAAGGTTTGGGGTCTAAGTTTGGCTTGCTGGGCTGCACGTAGCGTTAGAAGGAGCATGTGTCCAATTTTCTGCGTTCTTGGCAAGAGGATCCATACGGATACTCTGCAGCTCATCGTCCGCGAAACAAACGCGCAACCCCAAACCCTAAACCCTCAGCCCTAATCCCTGAACCGTAACTCCTAAACCCTAGACCTGAAGCCACCCTAAACCGTGAACCCTAAGCCCCAGACGCAAGACTCCTAAACCCCGAACCCTACTCAAACTCTAACCCCTGACCCACCTAGACTCCCTTCGAAACCAACGTCATCCAAGAGGGCTAAGGTTTAGGGATTTGGGTAGGAGTTAGGGGGTGTAGGGTTTAGGGATAGGATTTAGGGATTCGAATTTGGGTTTGGGGTTTTGTAAGGTGTAGGGATCATACCAGGGCCTAAATGATTGACAACGTCATGTCGAAATCTGCTTGAGGGGCACCCTATACCTTTCTACGAGGACTCTAGAACCATGAACCCTATACCCTAAAATGATTTAGGCCTCTAAAATGCGGCTAGCTGCGTGGCCCTCTACCACACGCCTTCGCGTTAGGGTTTAGGCATTACTCGTGCGCTTGAGGCAACAATCGCTGCTTGAGCTGAAACGTTCCTTTCAGTGGGCTTGATCAGGAAAGCTCCACGGGCACATTCGCCTGCTCCAATTGAGCCATAGTCTGAAATCCTAGCATCCCCCTTGAAAGGCCATATGATACTCCCCTATATAATCCCCTATATAACCACTTTTAAGGAGTTTAGACTATAGCTCAATTGAATACTAAGCCTACTTGAAAGTTCACGTGTACTTATAGCCAACTCAAAGCCTCAACCTTAATTGGATAGTAAACTTAGCAAACAGGTGAAGATAAGGGTTATCCTTTCGGCTGCGGGTTATTCGCGAGTGAGGGACTGTGATCTGACATCGGGGGGGTTCCCAAAACTACGGGGTGTCGTTTTCGGGTCCCAGAAAAAAGGATTATAGCATTTTGGGGTCTATAGGGTCCCCGCATATATGAAAACTACCAGACATGTACATACAAGTCATGGAAAATCAAGTGGAAAAGAAGCTGGAGAAAGACACGAACCCTAGGTCCCTACCCTAAACCCGAAACCCTGGGGTTGTGGGGGGTTTAGGAATGATGGAGCATCAAATTGGAAAGAAAGCGGAACGCGAAATGGAAACTGGGATTTTACGACCATATGAGCTATAGTCTAAAATTCCTTTTAAAGGGGGTTATATAGGGGAGTGTTATCAGGTTATTAAGGGGAACTCGAGGAGTGTAGACTATAGCTCATATACAGGGCCTGTACTGTAGGGAAGCATGGGTAATTGCCAACATTCTGTTCTTTTTGTTCTGACAGATGGCGGTCTCAGATACCTCTAATACATCTTAAAATGCGAAGCCACGTTGACAGTTGGTAGTTTCCCGCAATAGGGTGACCCCAATAGAGACCCCAAACTATTATGATCCTGATTATTGGGAACCCCCACAAAGGTACCCATAATTTTGGGAAACCCCCAATTATTTCAGCCCTTATGTTACTTTAAGATAACCCACACCTGCCTGCGTCCGAAACACCACAGATTCGCCCCGGGTGCTTTTGGCCTGCTAGGCATCATCATCATGGTTTAACGATTTAGGATTTAGGAAGTTTAGAACTTAAGGGTTTCCTAAAATTAGGGGTACCATTTGAGGGTTCCCTTCATAAGGATTATAGTATTCGGGGGTCTATATTAGGGTCCCCCGTGTTAGGGAAACAACCTTAGGGGTTTAAGGGTTAGGGTTAGCTTCTTCTGGTTTCGCCATGTGGCTTTCATACAAGCTAAACGGTGATAGAACACAATAATCATTGGGGAGTTTAGCACCCTAAACCCTACATTCCGAAACCCCGTAACTAACGCCACACACAGTAGATAAATGCTTGAAGAAACCAAAAGATGTCATGAATCTACTGCACCATGACCCCTGTAAAATGCTCGCGGAAGATAGGACGGTTTTCCAACATGAGGAGTACCATTTTGTGGGTCCCCACAATAAGGATGCTACTGTTTCGGGGTCTACATTGGGCATCCCATTTACGGAAGGTACGATAACACTTTGGAACCTGTGCCGCTGGCGGAGCTTGCTGAGGGCTTAGCAGTATCAGCAAGCCAAGCCAAACACTAAACCCTAAACGCGGGACACTTCTTCGCCGAGATTTTTTCGTGGGCAGTGCTAGGGCAGCCTTCTTCAGTTTCTTCGAAGAATTGGCCTCGTTGTCCCGCGCTGGCGTTTTCTGCTTCTTGCATGTGGCTGGGATGGAATCTTCCAATGCCAGCATACATTGGGGTTATATTGGGTTTATATAGGGATAATGGAAAATAAAATGGAAACTACTATAGTACAATATACCCTGGGGAAGGGAGTCTTCTGGTTCCCGGCCCACTCTTGGCTCTAAGGCTTGTGAACTTCTTCCAATGCTGCGGACTTACCTGGACATCCTAGTTGAATATGACTGTAGGGTTTGGGGCTTAGGGAATGTGGCTTTGCTGTTTCCACGATTTTGGGGAACTTCGATTTCAAGGTAGCAGCTTATGTTTTGGGCTTTGGGTGGTTGCTCCATCCTGGAAAGCTGCAAACTACGAACAGCCTAGTTTCTAGCCCTGCTTGCTCCATTTGATTCTTCAAGCCCTCAATTATTGAGGCTTCTACGTTGCACCCATGGGCTACAGTCTAAACTCCTAGTATCCTCCTTAAAAAGCCCTATAAGGCTCCCTAGATAATCCCCTATCTAGCCCCCTCTGGGGAGTTTAGACAATAGCTTACATGGGGTCCTTCAATCCCTAAGCCCCCTAAACCCTAAACCCTAAATCCTAGACCCCTCTGGGGGATCCTAAGTGGTGCTGGATTTCCTCCATCCACCATGGCAAAGGGGATCCCTATCCCTACACGCCAGACCCTAGTCCTGTACCCAAATTAATCCCTAAGCCCAAACCCTACGCCCTAAACCGTAGGGTTTAGGGTTTAGGGTTCAGAGTTTAGGGTTATCCCTGAACCCTGCGCCCTGAATCCCAAACCCCAAATCTTTAGCCTTAAATCCTCTTCACGACACCAAAATGCCGCCAGCCACTAGCCTTCTCCGGCCCAGATGCACTGGTCGTGCTTTCTGCCTTCCAGGCTGAAAAGACTTAGGAATTCAACGGGTTAAACTTTGGGATTTAGGGCTTGCACCGCTCTAAGTTTAAGGTCCAGGGTTCGGGGCTTGCAGTTTCGGATTTTGGGAGGTTGGGTTTCGGGCTTGCATGCTTGTGGTTTTGGCTTTTTATGACAAATCTTGCACACAGGGGGTTTCTAGACTAGAATGGTGCCCTGGACCTAGGATGTAATGGGGTGGTGCAGTACTTCCTCCAGCAACATCTAGACACCTGACAACGTTCGCTGGTGTCCCAAGGCTGATGCCACCATACAAACAGTTACTACTCCTTCCACATTACTTACATACCTCTAAGTACTACCTCCCAACGACTGGTCAGGATGCACGGACCTTCAAACAGCAACCACTCTAGAACCCCAGCTTCCCTTTGATGTTCCAGTTTCTCTTCCATTTTATTCTCCACCATCCTAAACCCTATATAGCCCTGTGTGAGCCTATATAAGCTAGGTTTTCAAAACTGCGGACCTTTTTTGTCCTCATTGTAGTACGGCCCTTAATAGCCAGGATACCCACAAAGGGACCATAATTGTGACAACCTGGAATATGAGCTACATACAGTTGTCCCCATATAATCAATGCACATGGGCTCCTTCTCACAGAATGTAGCAGGGATTGCACGAAACAACGAAAGGGACCCCTTATGTCCACCCTGAAATGACCCCCCTGGTAACCCTAATATTGACCTAAACCCTCAACCCTAAACCCTGAAATCCCTAAACCTTAAACTCCAGAAATCCTAAACCTTCTAGACAAGCCTCTTCCTCTTCCTCCTCCTTCTTCCTGTTTTCTGCGAGCACCAGGCCAGCAGCACGAAGCGCCAAACGAAACACCTGGGCGGTTTGAGGGTTTGGGGCTTAAGGTTCAGGGTTTAAGGTCTAGGGCTTAGGGTTTAGGGCTATGGTTTTTCATTTGCTGCGCCTCTTCGGTCCAGGGTCTAGGGTTGAGGGGTTTCCGTTAGTTTTGAGTTTAGGGTTTAGGGCTCAGTGGCGTTCGATTTGGGGTCCTAGGTCTAGGTGTTGGGCTTGGAGTTTGAGGGTTCAGGGCTTGGTGCTTAGGGTTTGGGATTTCGGGTGTGACTTCAGGGTTGGGTGCTCAAGATTTTGGGCTCACGGTTGAGATTCA